GCAGGTCCAAGCCTCTCCTCCCTGTATCAAGCAAGGTGTCCCACCATAGGTAGTGGGCTCCAGAAAGCCAGCTCATGCACCAGGGATGGATCCTGATCCTACTGCCAGAAGCTCCTTAAACAGAACAAGCTACACAACTGTCTAGCTTATGCAGAGGGCCTAGTCCAGTCCCATAGAGACTCCACAGCTGTTGGTCTAAAGTTCACGAGTTCCCACTAGTTAGGTTTGGTTGTCTCTGTAGGTTTCCCCATCATGATCTTGATGTCCCTTGCTCACAGAATCCCTCTTCTCTCTCTTCCACTGGGCTCCTGGCACCCTCACTTCTTTTTTTTCTACTTATCTTTTTATTAGATTTGTCAAAACATCTATCCTGACAATGTGGCGGGGAAAAAAAAGGTCTGCATATTTGCAATGTAATTCTTTTCTGTGTGTGTTTTTAATTTTTTATTATTAAGAAATTTTCTATTCACTTTACATACCCACCAGAGATTCCCCCTCTTCCCTCTTTCCGCCCCCTAGCCTTCCCCCCCAACCCATCCCCTAGCCCCACATTTTCCAAGTCAAGGTCTCCTCCCATGGGGAGTCAGCAGAGCCTGATACATTCAGCTGAGGTAGGTCCAAGCCCCTCCCCCCTGCACCAAGGCTGTGGTGCAAGGTGTCACACACTAGGTACTGGGCTCCAAAAAGCCCGGCCATGCACCAGGGACAGATCCCGACCCCCCTGCCTGCGGTCCCCCCAAACAGTTCAAGCTAAACAACTCTCTCCCGTATCCAGAGGGCCTAGTCTAGTCCTATGGGGGCTCCACAGCCACCAGTCCACAGTTCATGGGTTTCCACTTGTGTGGCTGGTCATCTCTATGTTTTCCCGTCACGATCTCACGTCCCCTGCCCACAGAATCCCGCCTATCTCTCATTGATTGGCCTCCTGGAGCTCAGCCTGGCACCTGGCCATGGGATCTCTGAATCTGCTCCCATCAGTCACTGGATGAAGGCTCTATGATGACAGTTAGGGTATTCACTAGTCCAGTCACCAGAGTAGACCAGGCCAGGCACCCTCTTAACCACTGCCAGTAGTCCAAGGTGGGGTCATCCTTGTGGATTCCTGAGACCTTCCCTGGCACCCTGCCTCTTCCTAGTCCCATGATGTCTTCATTTATCATGGTATCTCGTTCCTTGCTCTCCCATTCTGTCCCTGTACCAGCTCGACCCTCCCATTTCCTTATGTTGTCATCTGCCATTCTTTGCCTTTCATTACTTCCCCCACTCCCAGTTTGCTCATGTAGATCTCATCTATATGTCCCTCTTAGGGTCCTCCTTGTTAGCTAGCTTCTCTGGAGCTGTGGGTTGTCTGGTTATCCTGAGTGAGGTAACCCAGACTCAGAAGAACAAGTATGGTATGTACTCACTCATAAGTGGATACTAGATGTGAGGGGAGGGACACCCTCACTTCTTGCTACTGGACTCTGCTCTGAAGTGGCCCCTTTGGCAAGCATCTACTTTTACCCTTTTGAGAATGTCCTCTGCTTTGCAATGATCTCTTTAGCCATCTACTCTCATCCTTTTATATATATATATATATCTATAGTATAATAAACTGACCACCTTCTACAGTATGCTCTGTGGATCTCATCTGAATGCTTTCAACAGAGATCACAAGAACCAAGAAGCTAAGGGGTATCCAGAGAGAAATACTGGTAACATTGTTGAGATCTAGTTTTGTAGTTTGAGTGAACATAATTGGTAGGATTTTGATTTTTTTTTAACTTATTCTTTCTTTTGCGTTCTAGTCTATCATCTCTTATGAATAATGTTCTATGTGCAGTTGAGGAAAATGTATACTCTGGTGGTATTGTATGGTATGTGCGCTACATGCCTCCTTGATGTATGAAGTTGCTCACATCTTTAATTTCCTTATTTATCTTCTTTCTAGTTCTGTGAATTAAAAATATATCAAAGTCTCTAATGATTATTGTAGACCTATTTTTTGGTCCCTTCAGTTTTGTTTACTTCATGTATTTATTACTCTGCTTTTTGGTGTGGGTATATGTTTATAGTTACTATATATTTTTGATGGACTGTACTTTTATCAATCTATAATATCATTCTTTATCACTTTTAAGCATTTTGACCCAAGAATATCTTTTCTTAAACTTCAACTTAGCTACTATTTACATGGCATATATTTTTCCATTTGTTCACTTTTGATCTATTTCACCTTTGTATCTAAAGTGAGTTTCTTATTTTTTCCCCACCAAAATGGAAACTATGTGAAGTGATACATATGCTAAATATCTTGGTTACATTATTTTATAATGTATATGTGTATCAAAACATTGCAATAAGGTCTGACTGTGGCTCAAGGGCAGACAAATTGCTTAGCATTGGTAAGGCCCCGAGTTCCATCCCTAGTAGTATGAAAAAGAATTGAACACTACACTAAACATATACAACTTTTATTTGTCAATTATATCTCCATATAACACGTGCAACCTGACCATCACCATCATGAAGCCCAGATTGTTGTGATGACCTATACAATACTTCAACTCCACAGTCATAGTAATAAAATAAGCAAAAGAACATGTTAATAGCTAGGTTAATCACAGTTATAATTGAATTGTTAACATTAACTCTTAGAAGGAAGGTCACCTTACTTTAAATCACTATTCCATACCTCTCACCTGTATGTGGTCTTGGGAAGTTCTAGAGAATACAGCAAGGGGAAGAATGACTAAAGGCAAAACTCCAGTGATGCAGCATCTGTGAGTGGTCATACATGTTGGAGTGGATTGTTCAGTGAATCAGCTTCCCAAATCACCCATGCAGTGGTCACTCATGTTGGGATTGGACTTTGTTGATGATTCAGCTGCCCAATAACCCATGTTCCTATAAGTAACGCCAATAAATCCACTGGTGCACCAAGCTGAACTTAGGTGGAGTCAGGTTTTTAGTCTGTAAGCGATGCCCTGTGTGGGATGAATAGTCATTTCTTTATACCTCCCCTCCAGGAAAAGTCATACAACAAACAACAGTGGAGTTTGATTTTTAATCCATTTTTTCCAATCACTTCAATTTTAGAATCAGTGACAAATTTAACATGTGTATAAATCATCTTAAATCATTTTAACACTTTAAAATGCATAACAGCAATGTTAACATTACGGGAAAATGGATCTATAGAATTTCATGTTGCAAAAGTAAACCTCTATTCTATATTTTAAAAAACAAGTAAACATAATGAGAAGAATGAGGAGGAAGAGAATGACAAAAACAACAAAACTCCTTTTCTCCATCACCTTGACTGTAGTGGTTTGAATAAGAATGGCCCCCATAGGTTCATTCATACATTTGAATGCTTGGTCATTAGGGAGTGGTACTACTTGAGGGAGACTAGGATGTATGGCTTTGTTGGAGTAGGTGTGGCCTTATTGGAAGAAGTCTGTCACTGGGGGGCGGGCTTTGGGTTTTCAGTGGCTCTCTCTCTCTCTTCCTGCTGCTTTCAGATCTAGATGTAAAACTCTCAGCTCCTCTTCAGCACCATGTCTGCCTGCATGCTGCCATGCCACATGCTTCTTGCCAAGATAATTCTTGACTAAACTTCTGAAACTGTAAGTAAGCCCCAGTTAAGTGCTTGCATTTAGAAGAGTTGCTACGGTCATGGTGTCTCTTCACAGCCATAGAACACTGACTAAGACAATGACCCTGGTAATTACCAAAATAAGAATTTGAGAATTTGTATATCTGTTCACCAGGGAAATGTGGTATCACGATAGTAACAGCTTCACAGAATAAGTTTAATGGTGTCCTCTCCATTTCTTTTTTATGAAAATATTTAAGAAGTGCTGATGCTAGACTTCCTTAAATATTTGTTAGGATTCAATAGTGAATCCATCCAGCCCTTGACTTTTCTATGTAGGAAAACTTCAATATCATTGCTTATTTTGCATCTCTTGTAGTTATTTGTATCTCCTTGAATTCATGTTGGCAGCTTACATGGGTTAAAAATATGTCCATTTCTTTTGAAAATTGCTGTTTGAGTTGGTAGCTTGAGTTTCATTTTAAAAAGAAACCATTAAATGAATTTTTTGGCTTGAGGTTAAGATAGAATTTCCAACAGTGTCTGAAATGGCCATAAACATGTTTCTGCCATTTTGTACTATCTGTAAAATAGCATTCTTAGCATTGACAGATAGGCAATTTAAACATCAATCAACTCTGAAAAACATTGGACATTGTGTGATACCAAACAGCTCAGATTTAGTACCCTTTAGGGGCATGTGGGAGAAGTTGAGACAATGTCTCCTGTAGCCCAGGCCAGCTTCACACTTGCTCTGTAGTTGAGGGTGGCCTTGAACTCTTGATCCTCTTGCCTTTACCTCCCAAGTACTGGGTGTGCCACACCTGCCTCAAGATTTAATTCCTTATATAAAAATAAACATGTCTATCTCACTAGTTTGCAGATTTCCTTTCATCTTTAGTAAATGGTAAAGTTGCATGCATACTGAAAAATTGTTTTAAAATAAATCTCTGTAGAATTTTTAAAAAGTATATCCATTTCTTTTAAGTTTTCTAACATTTTGGTTTTATCAACAGTGCTAGGAATCAAATCTAGGACTTTGAACATGCCAGGAGCACTTTTCCACTGAGCTACATATCTAGTACCAGTTTTCTAGCTTTTTAGAATGAGTTTTCAAAGTATTCCTTAATGTCCCTCTGGATTTTATTAGAGTCTGCTGTAAGAGCTTATTTTTCACCTCTAATTTTTCTTATTTAGATATCTATTTTTCTTTAGATTTTTGATCTTTCTCTTTTCAAATAACTAACTTTCTGTTTGATTGACTCTGTATATTATTAGTGTCTACTTCTTGACATTCATATCATCCATCTGAGTTTGACTTGTTGTTTTTCTAGAACCTTGAAGTATATAATTAGGTTATTTATTTGTGATCTCATTAATTTTTTTAACATAAGTGATCTCATTGATTTTTTTCAAATGTAAGCACTTAGAGCTATAATCTTTCCTCTTATGAATGTCTTTTTGTATCCCATAAGTTTTGGTAGGTTATATCATAATTTTCATTTGTTTTTAGGATTTCAAAAACTTTCCTCGATTTCCTCAATGATCCACTGTTCATTCAAAAATGTATTGCTCAGTACTAAGTACTTGTGTAGCTGCTTTTATTCTACTGTTATCTGATAAAATATAAGTAATTCATTTTTTGCTTTGTATCCTATAATGTGCATAGTTTTAAAGAGAGCCCTATTTGCTGCTGAGAATAATGTGCATTCCCTATTAGTTGGATAGAATACTTTGTATCTGTTAAATGCAATTTCTCTCTGGTGTTATTTACTTAAACTGTTTCTTTGTTGATTTTTAGTTTGAAGTATGTGTCTACAGATTAGAGTTTTGAAATTTCTTGCTGATAGTACCTGATATTTGGTGTATAAATGTTAATAATATTCTAATCTTGATGAATTATCCCTTTATTAATGTGAAGTGATCTTTAGGTTTTCAAACCACATTTCTACTACTCACAACTTGTTCTATATATGGAATTTTTATCCATCCGGTTGTGTTTACACAGCCCAGGCTGGCAGTAGTACCACAACTGATTTCTGGTGGACCTGGCTCCTTCATTGTAGAGAAATTCAGACTTTGGCTTTTTATTTTTTCAGTTTTTCTTGTATATAAATAGGATCTATTATGTTTTTATCATAACATTTTTATCCACTGACTCAGATGGAGCTTTTAATTCACCATCTTACTTGTAAATTCCAATCCACCAATCTTATACAAATCAATGAAAAAGATATACAGTGAACCATCAGTATACTATGAACAACAATATTGGTCTAAAACTCCACAAATACTATCTCATCACATGTGTACATATAAGTATCTCACCCATTCCAAAAGTTCACTCAAGAATGTGTGTTATTCAGAATGAGTATTTTTGTGGCTTAAATAATAAAATACCATCAATATAAAGTATTAATAACATTATCCCTTAACATTTAGCAATACAATCCTTTTCCTCAGCAAGTTCACTAGAAAGTCAATGAATTTCTTTTCTGGTGTTTGGTTGGTTTTGATTTGAGATGGGGTCATACTATGTTGTTCAGGATGGTCAACTCAGTTCTTTGACTCAAGTAATTCTCCCACCTCAGTCTCCCAAGTACCATGGATTACAAACACAGCCAAACTAGCATTTATGGAAATATGAAGTGATTCTTCATGTCCAGATGATCTTGGGACTTCAGCTTGTGGCCAGTTCCTAGGCAAGTTTTTGGAATGTGGTGGCATGTTGACTAGCTGTTCCTCTTGACAGAGCTAATGGGTGGCATTTCTGGTTAAAAACACCTGACAGAAACAAACAAGTGTTATGAGATAGTAATGGTAAGCCATGAATAATTATTGCACTCCAATTAAGGAAATACCCTCCCACATACTGTAGAATAAGCATGTAGAATAAGCATGAACTTAACTCCTTTAGTAGTTAAGTTCCTAGAAATACCAGCTTTTCAGAGGCTCACTTTGCATATTTGGTTTTTTTTTTTACTAGTTCTTTGAGACTTTTTTAAAATCACATTTATCCCTCCTCCCCACAACTATTCCCACACCTACCCACCTCTTTTCTATCCCCCTAACATTCGGTCTTTCAAAAAGCCCCTCAAGACCAGTTTGTGCTGCTCAAACAGTTTTGGATGTGAGGTCTTCACTGGAACATGGTCAGCTTACCAAGGACTCCACTTCTAAAAGAAAACTATCCCTCCCTTGTCCAGCAGCTAACAATTGCCAATAGCTCCAAGTGATGGTGATTAATACCCACATGTTTTGGACTGCATAGTATTTGTAGTACTTACAAAGATGCCTGTCCATAGAATACCCCAATTTTCTGAGAGCTAGAGCTTGACACTGAAAGTTATGCAGTGGGTCTATGAGAAGAAGCAAATAGAGCAGGTGGATTGGCTCTCTTTGACCTAGCAGTAATCCTGTACTTCTATGTTTAGGTTAGTGTTATCCCTGCTTTGTGAAGTATATCCAAGCTTTTATGGTAAGGATTTTAGGCAAAAAGACAGAACAGACAATTTGGTAGAAGTCATAAAAGCTACTTACCTGTAATTATGGTTTGGAGGTCTACATAAGAAATACCAAACACCAAGCCTGAAGGAAATCCAGATACAAATGTCCAAAGGTGTTCCTCAGTTGAGTATAAGAAGACAGGATGTTGAGCCAAATGGAGTTCAGAGACCCAGGGATATTCCAAAGAAAGAAGAGCGAGTATGAGTAAAAGTAATATGTATTAGCCATTTTTAGACAGGTTCTTATACAACCCAGACTGAGCTGTAATCCTATTGCTTTGGTCTTTTTAATGCCAGGATTACATGAGTATACTACCAAGCCCAGTACTCATGGTATTCATATGAAAACAGTATTTTACCCATAGGTGACTTTTTACAAGTTACAAGGCTAAGTTTTCTTGGTATGTTTGGTCTGATGAAAGGGCTGAGTTGAGACAGACAGACATCCCCAGATCCTCTCTCCTAGGTAGACATTGGCTTTGCCCATAGAAAGCCTCACTGTACTCTAATGAATTCCTGATGGTTTAGGGAGGGTTTCAATGATTGCTTCTGAGATCTATTCACCTTTTAGAAAATAGTTCCTGAATTGTCCATTGTATTCATAATTACAGTGTGTTCTCCATGCTACACTTGCAGTCTCCTTCTCAAGTTGGATACAGATACAGGATACAGAGTAAAAACCCAAAACATACAGCATGAAAATGGAATACATCCATAGAAATAGGCATAGATAGGAATGCAAAACTGTACAGAAGAGAACAAACTGGGCTCATCTACTTGGCTGTCCTTGCCTAGAACTTTGTACCAATTAGCATATTCTTTATATGTTTCTCTGCATACTGTCAAGACTTGAGTGAAGCTAGAAATGTAGGAGGTAGCAGGATGGACTCGCACTTGCTCTGCAAGGGAACCTTCACTGTGCTGAAGTGGAGACACTGTTCTAAAGGAATCCTGAAGTAGCAGATGTGTAGGAGAAGCAAATATAAAGACTTAATGTATGGCAGCATGAGTACTATAGTTAATAAGACCATATTGTATTTAGGGTTTTTACTAAATAAGTGGATTTTAGCTGCTTTTGTCACAAAAAAACAGGTATATAAGATAATACATCTATTAATTCATCTTGCTGTAGAGATGTGTTTACTATGTGGATGTTGTAAAGCTCAGATATACATATCAAAGAGTTGCTAGCTTGAACTGTAGGAAAATAGTGAGTTCAAGGTCATCCTGACTCAGGACTGGAGAGATGGCTCAGAGGTTAAGAGCACTGACTGCTCTTCCAGAGGTCCTGAGCTCAATTACCAGCAACCACATGGTGGCTCACAAACACCTGTAATGAGATCTGGTGCCCTCTTCTGGCCTGCAGTCACATATGCTGTATACATAATAAATAAATATATCTTTAAAAAAATCATCCTGACTGATGAGATAATATCTCAATACAAACACACAAAGAGCTGCTATGGCCATACACAACCAGAAAAATCTTCAGTGGTCAGAGCAGAAATGGCCACAGAGGAATGAGGAAACTTCCTGTGGTCACCAAAACAGATTTCATTCACATTAACAGCAAATGTAGCAGGAGAAATCCTAGGCAAATTTAGGCACATTGTTTACTTGACAAAGTAGTTATGGATGCAGAAGTTCAGGAAACCCAAATTATAATGTGACAAAAATAGATATATCTTGACAGGAATGGGGTTAGCAAGGAATGTTCTGTGGCAAGTCTGCTCTCATGATCAAAGCTGCCATGACTTGAGAAGCCATGATAGCAAAAATAAAATAAAATAAAATAAAATACAGATTTTTATTTATTTATTTATTTATTTATTTATTTAACAAAGGCAGCTATAGTTTGGGGGAAACAAGAAAGTATATTTTTTTTATGGAAGGAGCTCTGACATATAGCATTTAAAGGTCAAGCTCATAACCAGAGCAGAGAGACTTTAAAAGGCATGAGCAAGGAATGGCTTCTTCCATTATCAAAGTAGATGCACCTGGGAAAAGCATGAAGGTGAAGGACTTATTTCTTGGCCAGAGGTGAAACTTTTTTTTTTCTGACCAACTTTGTTGAGTCTATGGAAGAGGAGAAGCAGGAAAATTTCCTTAAGCAGGGTAGATGTGGGCTGGGAAGATATGGTAATGGAAAACTTCTTGCATTACCGGGCAACTTTAGCTCATGATGGAGTGGATTTGGAAGGCATTTCACAGCTATAACCCTGCACTGAATGAGATGGCATAGAAGTTGAGCATCACTTTCTTGTCAACAGCATCTATATCTAGGAAAGATATAGTGATAGATGACTTATTCCAATACTAAAGCAGCAACAGGAAGTATGTGACTGCAGAGAACTCTATTGCCAGAGTATTTGTGAGTTAGAAACATATAGGCATGGAAAATTATAACATGATTTTAAACACCCTTATGAGTAAATAAGTCATACTAGATGTTCTCTTTGCAACCAAAAGCTTTAATGATTATGCAAGACTGAGAACTGAATTCTATCTCTTTTATGGGTACTCATTTTGAGTAATTGATATGAAAAACTTCTTCAATGCACCAAGTATCTGCGGTTAGTAAAGTCGTGATAGAAGGCTTATTTCCTAATAATATTGTCTATGGTAGAAAATGTAGCATGCAGAATATATTTCATGACACAGATAGGAAAATGGTAGCTATTTTTCATCACTAAACAGTTATTGCTGTGGTGGGGGAACACTCAGTAAAAAATTATGGCTTTGAAAGATGTGGAAATTGAGGATTTCAGTAGCTCTCAACGAAGTATATCTGGGAAAGACAAGATATAGAGTAGATATTATGATTTGAAGGCAGCTATAAATTGAGAAGACATAGATATTGAAGACTGCTACATGGCTAAAACAAATCCAGCTATGAAAGACATATAAATACAATATTCCTTCCAGATTAGAATAAATAATAATGGTGAAGATATAGAAATGGTAAACTTCCTTTGAAACCTATATGATGTGACCTCTTTGGAAGTAGCTGAGTTTAAAGGTTTACTTCCTGGCCAGAACATAGGTAACTAGATAAAAACTGGATATGGAACACTTTTTAATGGTCAAAGCAGAAAGAGCTGGAATAGAAAAATGCAGATTAATACAGCTCCTAATGTGGAAAACATTACATGGAAAGCTTTTTCTTCAAAAATAGAGTTAAAAAGTGATGGAAAGGTCATGGAGATCAAAACAGCAATGTCTATGAAAGACATGGCATAGGAACCATTAAACACCAAACAGGTAATCATTGTGTCCAAGGAAACTTTGTGATAGCAAAGACACACAGCTGAAATCTGTCTTTCATTGTTAGACCAGACAATGCAGAGAAGAACATGTACATGAAAGACATCCATTGGTCGAGAATTTATAGTTGAAAAAACACAAAGCTGGAACAACTAGAAAAATTCTACTCCTACATGGGAATATCAAGGGGGAAAAACCTAGAAACTACCTGGCAGATACTTGAAAAATAACTTCATAGAAACCAAGCAAATGCTAACCAACAAAAAAGACCTAGTGATGGACCCCAAATAACCAGCTACCACAACTGGCCACATATACCAAGTCTCAGTATGGGCCACACACTACCTAACACCTGCCCAGCCTGAAGAGTGACCCAGACGTTCACCCACCTGTTTGGCCTAAAAATACCAGGCCTACTCTGGTTCTCACAGCTTGCCAACCAGATGAGCCAGGTAAGTACTCCTGAACCCAGCATGCCCACTGCCCTTCATATTCCCAGGAATAGATAACATAGCAATCAACATGCTACCACAGCAGACTGAGAAACAGACTCATGCGAAACTTCCCAGTCCTTACACACCTATTATTAACTGGTATCTTGCACTCTGCACACTAGACAAATCAATGAGACTGATCTAGTATCATGCTTCCCAACAAGATGGTCATACTCCTGGTCTGGGTCTCCATACTTGTGCAACATCACATCCTGGTAACTAACTAAAAAGCACCACAACTTGGCTTTCTACAAGTTTGCAGAGAAGGTTAGGATCATGCAGCCACAAACCAGCCCACCTTTATTGAGTGTCTCATGAATGCATCAAAACTAAGTATCTCCACCTTCTTAGGCACAGTTAACAACATGATGCATATGCAACAGCCCAACATGCTGAGTTCCCCAGATATCAAATTCTCATGAAATCCTGCAATCACAACACTAGCTGAGGTCCCACAGATTCAGATCAACCCAGCACAGAGTAATGAAGACATGAACTCAGAGGATATTTTCCCATATTATGAGGATGAGCTCAGGTCATGCTTGAGGTATACCAGCCCAGAGAGGTCAGTGGAATAGATACTCAACTCCTCATGCAAACCCACACTCACAGCCTACTTGGATACCTATATCCTGTGCTCCCTTCCAACAAAGCAAAGAAACTGGGGCTGTCATCATAGGCCATGTTCCCATTCTCCCAGGTCTATGGATATGCACACCTTGTGAACTAGACCAACAAGGGGAGATCTCTAGTCCCATAGATGTCTGTAAGGGAGAGCCTTACAGAGGACATACATATGTGCCTGTCTAACATGGAGAGCAAGAGAGATATTTAGAGGCAATCATTACAGTTCAGTGATTGAGAGGTGCTACAAAATTGGCATCAAACAAACCAACATAGAAACTTGGTTCCCTTCATACTCATGGAGTCACCCCTTATAGGCTATGATAGGTTCCACAAAAATTCAGCAAACAAGAAGGGAGTGTGGTGGTAATCTAATTATACTGAAATGTGATTTTGATTGTATGTTAATAAATAAAGTTGCCCAGGGGTCAGAGCTATTAGAGCCATAGCAAAAGAGTGGCGGTGGTGGCACACGCCTTTAATCCCAGAAAGCCAGCCTTTAATCCCAGGGAGTGGTGGTAGAAAGCAAAAAGATATATAAGGCGTGAGGACCAGAAACTAGAAGCATTTGGCTGGTTAAGCTTTCAGGCTTTGGAGGTCCCACCGAGATCTGAGAAAGGAGGACCAGCTGACGGACACTCTGGGAAGGCCGGACGGCATTTGGTAAGAGTGAATTGAAATGGGTGCAATTAGCTCACAGTCAGTTAATTGGACTGTTGAAGCAGGAAGGCACCAAAGTTAAGTAAGGGCAGACAGCATATCCTATTGAAGTTTAGAACGGTGACATCGGTAAGTTCTTCAGGAACAGTGACGTCGGTAGTAAGTTCGCCAGGAACGGCTACGACGTGGGTATGCTGATTACTATAAGGGGATTAATCCGCAGCCCTTCGCTCAGACATGGTAAACGGGTATCGGTAATGCGGGCGTTACCGCGACAAGGGAGGGTGACAACATCCTTGGCCTTTGCCCATCATTAACTGGATGAGTTGGACTTGCAGAGATTTCAGACCTGGCCAGAGAGTTGGTGATCTTATGTCTCATGAAACCCCATATTCGATCTTTCAGATTCAGCTAGAAATATTAGAGCTTACAATCAGATCAGGTCGTCTATGAATGCCTGAATAATACAAAACTGGTGGAGTCATTTAGACTATACACCAGGTAGATATGGAGGGTTCTAGAAATTTATACTCACAAAATAACACGTGCTCAAAGGGCATAGTTGGAGACATTGCTGAGGTTCATAAGCAGAGAGACCTGTGAGTGCCTCAGATACTCAGCTCATACTACAAACACAATGCCAGGCTTCACCAGTTTTCCACAGACTGTGGTCCATTCTCACAAAATGAGGAACCAAAGCTCCCTCACAGGCCATGATCCCATTCTCCCAGGTCTAGATGTATATGCACACCTCCTGCCCTGGACCAGCAAATAGAGAGCTCTAGTCCCCCAGATGCATTTTTCTTACTCCACAGTGAATGGAAAAGATGGGGACATGGGTTCTTTGTGCCAGTCCATCCAGGTGAGACCAAGACACACATTTGCAAGCCACCGCCACCAACGTGCAGGGCGTTGCTGGGCTATCCCAATTGTGCATCAGGCCACCAAGCTTTGAGGCCAGGGTCCTGTCATGCTCATGCAATCCCTGCTTCCCAGGCAAGCTGGTTCCCTCAACTATATATATATCCCCAACCCAGAACAGAGGTGGACCCTGACACACCCTCCATGGCCCTGTCCATCACTTCATGGCCCAAATGGTGTTGCAAGGGGACCTGTCCACAATTTCCCAAAATTTGATCATTCAGAATCAGCTGGCATCCTAGTGCTCACAGTCAGACCATCCTGGGAGATGGTCTGTAGCTTTCCACTCACCCATGTCATGCACATCCTCTATGGGTGCCTGTGTAGGGGCCATGAGCCTGTGTAACACCAAAGCTTCCTGAGTAACCCA